GGACGTTGCTGGTAGAAACCGTGCCCGGGGCGGATGTTAAGCCGCGCCGCATGAACAATACAGCCAGCGTCCTCCAGCTTCGTGAATCGAAGCAACAGGCCTCGTTTACTCGCACTGCCCAACAGCTGTGCGATGCGGCAGTTGAGGCGAGTTGTGTGGCACTGCAGTAAACGGCATTTGTCGGCTGTTGTAGCGCCGCGAGGCGTGTGCAGTGAACACGGAGGCGGGCGGGTTTGGGTGCAGGGATCGGCCGCCACCCAAAACTCGGGCGACGCCAAAGTAATAATGAAAATAATGAAATAAAAAAAATTATATGAAAAATGTAATGGAAGATGAAAGTAAGAAGAGTGGTGGTGAGTGAAGAAGGACGTGGGTAAGGTACGAGGTGTGGTTACGGTTGATAAACTGTGAGAGCGATCCGGGACTGCAGCCAGCTGCGGCGCTGTCGCCATGGTAGTTGGGTTTCGTGACCAATATCCATAATAGATGTTTTTTGGGTTAGATCCCGTAAATATAAATGTTATTTTATATAAATGTTATTAAAATATAAAATTTTTCTACCTACGTGACTTTACTGAAAGAACCAATGAGTATGGATTCCTGCAGTCACGAAAGCTTCAAATCAAGATTGAAATATAAATGTGTCGTTAAACCCGCCACCACCCGACACAGCCAATTAGTAAGGTTTGTCACGTAAACAGAACATGCCAATCTGGCTGTCGCCTGATGATGCTGGTTGTAATTACTGGTGAAACGTCGTACTCGAATTGTAAATGTTGTGGGGTTTACTCTCCAACACCCGGGTGTGCTGTCCTAGTGTAGTGTCATAGCGCCGTCTGTTGTTCAGCAACGGAAACTGCAGTGGACGAGAAATACACACGCCGGTGAGCACTAAGGCGGGTGTGTCAGCATGGCGGAGGAACTGGGGCAAGGGTCACAGAGACCCTGTCTGGAAGCCCCTGGAACCTGCTAGTGGGTTCGAGAAGGGAGACGCGGCCAGGGCGAGAGCCATGCCGCGCCGAGTCGGATAAAAGCAGTGGAGAGCGAGAGCTTGTGGCTGCCGGTTCTGGGAAGTGGACTCGTCTCGTCATCGCTGTCGTCTTTGCCGCCTTCGTCGCTGCTTTCTTCGCTAGACAATTGCGCCGCCGGAGAGTTTTTGGCTTTCTCGGTCGGTGCCGTCAGTGTAAGACGGTCAGGGTTGTGTCTAGGCTAGGCTATACGATTTGGAAGAAGTGAGGGTGAACCTGTGAACCTGAAAGTGTTAAATAAAGAAGGTGCCTCCCACTCCATTGACACTACACTAGTAACGAATTGGCATGTTCTGTTTACATGACTAACCTTACTAATTGGTGAGTCGATGTTACCCGAGACGTCACAATTTAATGAATTGACCCTGCTCCCACTATCAGTAACACGGGCGTCACTTTGTTGGTATAGTGCTGTATTGATTAAAGGTTGTGGATTGTAAGGTTGTTAGTTTGTGAGGGATGGCGACTTGCTTGAGCAAGCCTTCCTCCAGCAGTGGATTGATCGTGGCTCATTTTGAAAACTGATATTCAGTTATCGGTTCCTTTTCGATTTTGGTATTCCATATTTAGCGGTATAAACAACCGTATATAATCAAAATACTGTCCTGTATTGGTCTTCCTTTTTGGTCTCAATGGATTCTTAGCAGTGGCGACTCGTGACACTTCCACTAGGTGGGGCTGTTGTGAGTGACTCTGAAAAGACGGTTTTCTAATTAGGAAAAACCTTGTCGTGTTATTGGCCTTCCCGTGAAAGTGATATAACTGTCTTATCCACCAACGGTAGGCATTTTATAAACAATACGAAACAAAACAACAAAGCACTCAAATGCTGTCCCCATGACCCTCAAGTCCACACTACACAAGCCCTTTGACACTGCCAAAAACCTAGAGCGTGTCGAGCGTGAGCTGCTATATTTCCCCAGTGCAACCTCGCGTTGCGACATCGTCCCATTAGAGCCAAGGGCACCTTTTTCACCATCGCCCTAAATGGGTCTCAAACGGAGTGGCCAAAATGCTAAAAGCTGATTGCAATGACTGAAGAAGGGAAATCTCTCATTCGGACACCTTCACAGCTGCCCCGAGACCTCGACGAGGCACAAGTCAGACTGCGGCGTTCCAGCAGTTTCTAATTCGAACAACTTAAAATGTTATCTTCATTAGTCAATTAACGTTGAAACACAACAACCCAAATTTGTAGGAAAAAAAGTTTTTCTATTACAAAATAATTTCTCCTCTCCAGCTGCTTGGTAGGGCGGCGCCCCAACGCCCCCAGTTGACGAACCGCGGCTGATTCTTAGGGTCATCTAAGAATTTGATCTGATGTATTTGTAGTGACATCGGGGATATCACTGTGCGATGTTCCTATGTCGCGGACAGCACTGGGTGGTTTGCTGTGTGAGGTCGGCTCTCGCACAACACGCATAGCGTGTAATGCAGGCTCCCACAAGGGAGAGTGGGAGAGTGTTGGCCCAGTGGCAGGGTTTCCCCGGGCCATGGCACTCTGGTTGACACCGTAGACACGTGATCTGGAGTATCCTCAGATAAGGCCCCATGTGGGGTGGGGGGCTAGGGGGTGATCACGTGTCCAGGGAGAGCTCTCTAGAGGGACCGAGAGGAAGCTAGAACGCTCGAGAAGGTGGGCGGGGCCGAGGGCGGAGCGGCCCCAGCCGGGAGGATATAAGGTGGGTCCCTGAGAGGGACCGGGATCGCTGTATTCTACAAGATGGAAGCTTCTTCTTTGTTCTTTCGGTAAAGTCACGTAGAAGGGAAGTAATAAAATAATAAAAATAAAACATAACATTTTATTACTTCCCTTCTACGTGACTTTACCGAAAGAACCAAGAAGATGAATCCCTGCAGTTACGAAAGCTTTAAATCGAAATTTAAGATGGAAGCTCTACGTCGTACAAGCTGGAAGCTCTACACGTGGTCGGGACCCGAGTGAGGGTCAGACCATTCGTAGCTGTAACTCCTCCGTATAGGGTAGTTAGCTGGGTGGTCACCACCCAATGCTGTATCTGGTAAAGGGGCAGTTACCCCTTTGTGTTAACGTGTTGATGTTATAATAAATGTGTTGCCTCTAAAGAGAAACGTCTGTGACTCAGTTGGACTCACATATTTTATACGCGTGATTTGTATCTACCATGAAGTTAAGAATCGCGGGTAAGTTGCCATCCAGCAGTGAATATGTATGTGTTGAATAAAACTGCTGACGTTATTCAATAATTTACCGAATCGTAAAAAGAACGGTCCGTACAATGTGCAATTTCCCGCCACAATTTGCACTCATTTTACATTTAACTTCATTAAATTAAAAGGACACTACATTTATATTTTGTACGTGGATATATACCTGTACTGTGTACGTTTTCTCCTCACCAAAGGTATAACAGTACTCGTGCATTGTGCCAAGGGACCGTCCATAAATGACGTCACGCACCTAGGGGGGGGGGGGTCAGACATTTGTGACGATGTGTGACGGGGGGGGGGAGAAATGTGACGTCACATCAAAATGCGCAACTTTAAATATAGAATTGTTATAACAACACTCCTACAACATCAGAGTGCAGCGCCACATTAAATACGCACTACAATGATAATAGTTTAAAGCGATTTGAAGCATGTTTTATTTGGGGGGGGGGGAGAGCTTTGTGACGTCATATTTGAGGGGGGGTCTGACTTTTCGACGGGGGGGGGGGGGAAATCGTCCAAAATTGCGTGACGTCATTTATGGACGGCCCCCAATGAGCTGTCACGTCAATGGGCTCATACAGGGAAGAATGACTTAGTCAAGGGGAAACGTCGCTCAAAAAGACAAATATTTGAGATTTCAAAATTCAGCCAAATTCCACTGACAGAAACTGAAATATGCTTCGCGTATACGGAATAGGTGCAGGGGATTTGCAAAATTGAAATCTTTCCACTCGCAATAATTTTGCTTTGCATCATTCCTCAGCCATGATCTGCCGCTGTAGCGGTTTTATGCGGTTCATTTTTTACTTGAATATTTTATCTTCTTGGTTCTTTCGGTAAAGTCACGTAGAAGGGAAGTAATAAAATAATAAAAATAAAACAATAAAACAATTCTCACGACGTTTCGGCCACAACGCAAGCAGCCGTCCTCAGGTGAAGAATGAGACAATGTCCCCATGACCCTCAAGTCCATATTACACAAGCCCTTTGACACTACCAAAAACCTAGAGCGTGTAGACCGTGAGCTGCTATATTTCCCCAGTGCAACCTCGCGTTGCGACATTATCTTATTAGAGCCTAGGGCACCTTTTTCACCATCGCCCTGAATGGGTCTCCTAGGATGAGACAATGTCTCATTCTTCACCTGAGGATGGCTGCTTGCGTTGTGGCCGAAACGTCGTGAGAATTGTTTTATTGTTTAATTTTTATTATTTTATTACTTCCCTTCTACGTGACTTTACCGAAAGAACCAAGAAGATGAATCCCTGCAGTCACGAAAGCTTTAAATCGAAATTTGAATATTTTAATTGAGCCAATCAGCTATTATTTAAATGGGGCTATCGTGATGAAAGCCTCAACAAATGTGTAAATCCTGTGCGTGTTACTAAATTTGCATAATTTTATTGGCACAGGGCACACGTCTTGGGTGCGTAGAACTTTCTAGAGTGTCTCATCCGCAGAAGAAGAAGATGATGATAATGGTGACAGCACCCATCCCACATATCCGGACCTCCCAACAACCATCGTCGTCATCATCATCAACCACCACGTGTGTTCACCCGGCGTGCAAATCTCGCGATATCTCGCATTCATCGCTGTCTTAAGATGCCGCGTAATCTCGCGAGATCTCGTGGAGGCGGATCTCAGTGGGCGGAAGCCCGCCCACCCCACCGCTCCATTCATCGCGCGCGAATCCATTTTATATTCCCTCCCACGTTTGCGCGCGGCAGCCAATCAAACGCGAGCTTCGTTGCACCACGGGTTCGCTCCCGACCAATCGCCGACCGGCCGCGCGTCGAAGCGCTGTAGGCTTTTGGAGGCAAGCGCGGCCCCGGTTTGGCGCGCATTGTTACAAGTAAAGAAAGTAGCGAGTTTGTTAAATTTCCCATTTTAATAAACAATCTTCCTTCGCCCCGGTCATGTCCGAGGACGAGAAGAGCGCGACGGAGGCCGAGCGCCGTCAAAGCGAGGTGAGGGGAAATGGCAACTTTGTTATTGTTGTTAACCCCGAGTCGCAGGGAGACATCGGCCGCGCCGCGCCACCTCCTCGCGGGCCTCTCTGCGCTCTCCCCGGGTAGGCCGGCCAGGCAAGGCCGAGGCTATTCTGATAGCGGTAGGCCGCAGCACGCGGTGGCGTCATTATAATGATTACCTTTTAAATGAGTGTCGTGTGGTGGTTTAGTTTGTATTCTTCAGTTCTCCGTCGCGTGATGTTATAATAACGCATTATATGTGCTCAAGATGTGAACGAATAGTCGTGGAGTGGAAGGCAATGATTGGAACGCGTCTGGATAGGACGTCGACCTCGGTTATTATTACATCGCAGAATCGTGATATGATCTCTCCCCTCCCCTAAAACATTTTTGTTTCGTTTGTTACATGTCGGCCTCATTCTGTTATGATTATTAACGTGTGTAGAAAGCAGCAGGCGGCCTTCTGGAATATTTGTGTTGCTACTTGGTTTGATTTACGCCAATTTAGACGTTTCTTCTCATCTGTTTTTTAAAACAATACTGCGTCAGTGTCCCATTGACATCGAGGTTTGTTGCAACGATGTGCGTGCCCTTGTTACTTGCATTGCTGTATGGAGGTGTGACATGGCCATCAAATCTTAACGTTTCGTCTTCTGGTCTGGAATGTAAACAGTCGAGGGAGAAACCGGCGACTGGCAACACTTGAGAACACAGTGTAATCATCATGGTTGAGTGGAGGAACCCGAGATTAAAACCCATGTTTTTATTCTTGCCGGCTCCGCTGTCTTGACAGGCACTGAACTATCTGGACAACCTTACATTATGCATTTTAAGTGACGTGCCGCTGTTGATGTCGATTAGTGAGTGAATCGTGTTGAAGGTTCCTCCTTGGTGCTGAAGCCGCTCGACTGATGTTGAAATTGGCGTTGTCATTGCCATTTGGCCCGGTTGATAGTCGCAGTGTTATTCTTCGGGAACGTCTCGATTAATCTCAAAACTCTTTTTGCAGGAAGAGGGAGGGTTTTGTATCGGAGCTTTATGGCCAAATCAACCGGAATATATTCATGTTAACGGTTACATTTTCTGCTGGTCGAGGGCCGCCTCACACCCTACGGGTCCACCCATTACCAGACACTTGATATCACTTGTCAGTACGGGTTGGTGAAGGCGGTGTGCATTGACTTTGAAGCATAGTACGGTGCAATGGTAGGGTTTTAGCTTAACTGCCTGCTTGCTCACAACATAGCAGCCTTTTACGCTTAGTGGTCGACCATTGAAGTACGGTCAACCTGCTTAGCTTCTAACATCTGACGAGATTGGTCGCTTTGTGGGTGATTTTTCCGTAAGGACGTATAAAATCACATACATTCATAAACAAAACTTTCTTACAAACTAAAGTATTTAATAAGCATTAATGAGATTATTCAGTATCCCTTATATCTAAAGAAGGTCCATTGTGTGTGCATGTTATTTTTGTACCGCTAGCAGGATATTATATGCCCGTGTACAAATCAATTTACCAAATTTGCTAATTATCTGACACTAACAGTCGATACAGAAATTGCCAACAGGTGCGTAACTATGGTGTTTAGAAGATGCATATATAATTTACATCGCATCTGGTTAAAGTATTGCACGTGTAGATGTGCAGTCCTCTTTTTCTTCTTCAATCTACTGCTGAATTAGGGCCTCCATATGCCTGCGTTGGTCATGGGGATTATTTGACTGTTTAGTTAGTGTTGATTGATGAAGGTCGGGAGCATAGACATGAAAACGTAGAAGTATTTTACAGGTACAAAAAATGTGTTTGCCATCCTGCCATTCTTTGCCCACCATAGCACCACAGCCCTATGGTGATTGCCCATCCAAGCAGAATCCAGGTTCAACCCTGCTTAATTTTCTGTGGCCGTGTTGGGTCATAGAGTGTCTTATAACACAAACTTATCCACATCTTTACATAGCCTAACCCAGAAATCAATTATGAATCGTCATGTTGACTCTAAAAAACTATGTGCCAAATGAAAGTACAAATTAGCATTCGATGTTGCAATCGTGGACGTATGAGTTTATCTACCTTGTATTTTTTGTTTAATTCACGGCTGTGAGTGCCTGAGCTTGCCGGTCGGCGTGCAGGTGTCTTTTGTGATTGTTTTGTGTAACCCCAATGCGACTGCTGTACATCCCCTCAGGTGAATGATCCATCGTTCTCGCCAAATTCGCCGTCAAGAAACGCCGTCCCCAAGCCCGAGACCAAAGCACCAGACCCAGAGTATGAGAACAAGATGGTGCGTACTGAATGAGTGGGAATGAAAGAACAAATGAATGAGTTTTCTTTTGGCATTTCACAATTCATCCTACCCACATTCACCCAACCCACATTCTGTTATACGATGATATGTTACGATTCTATGATTAAATCAATGTTTTTTTGTACCGACTAGTGTGCATCTTCGTTTTTATGGTCTCTCATTTTTTCTGTCTCGTTAGTACTGTGGTGGGCGAACACATTTGTAAATGTTATATGGAATGATTTCACGTGACTCTTGCCACTGTTCAAAAATATATTTTATTCCGGTATTGAATTATGAACCGGATTTGTGACATTCCATTGAATTTTTGAGGTTGGGTAGGGGTGAACATGTACACCTCAAGTTTTTATGCTCATTTGTACTTATCTATTACTTCCATCCTCAACCTAAAGGGAGACTTTGCAGGAAATTAGCATGAAACAAAAATAACTTTTTACGTGCACATTTTGATGTATAGATTGAGAGGGTAAGAAAACATTTGCATAGATAATTACTCGAATGGAGCGGTGTAGCAGTTATTAATGCTCTTCCCTATGAACTCTGCGACCTGAGTTCAATTCGTTGCTTCATGTAATGTGATTTACACCAGCCTTCTAGTCCGATTATCCAAATAACTAATAATATGAAAAAAAGTTAACTGACATGTAATGAGTTTTCACCCAGCAATGTTTAACGTGTTTGAAACGCAAAATACATACAATCGCAGCACCGACGAGGACGCTAACATCAACAGGGATAATTAATGTATTGGCTCATGTAAATGAAGCACGCTTTAGCATCGGCGCTCTCATTAATCACGTAAATGATGCGTATTAAATTAGAAGGGTGTCGTTCCTGGGCTTCATACAGCACGAACATTGATTTGTGTGACGCTCGGCAAACCACAGCTCCTGATTTCCTAGGATGAAGTGTTACCCTTTTGGTTTTGCAAGCTGTGATTTTCGTCTCAACAAAACAGGACATAGATGTAGCATAGAAACATAGGTTACATATCAATAGAGATGTCTGTTGATAGGCAGAGCCAAAGAAGAGACCCATTCATATCCTTGATAATTAATTTGTATTATTGCAGCAACTCCACTGCAACTCCAAAACAATATTTAGGCATTAATTATGAAACTCTTGTCGATTGCGCAGTGGTTAGTGTGTAGCACTACTAACCTTTCCTGGGTTCAAACCCCGGCCTCGGCTCACAGCAGTGCCAAGTGAAATCTGAATCGGTGATGGCCCTTCTCTTACTCCCTTCATTAACCGGCACTATATTTTCTTTAACCCAGTAGTGCATGGCGAAACCTTGAGAGATGGTAGGCTCAACACCTGGCCTCACTCAAATGGCTCCACTTGGATTGCGAGTGCTGGAGGAAACCCTATGTGGTAACCTTGAGCCAATTAATTTTTTTCCCGTCCGACCCGCCCGTGGGCTGACCCGCCGCAGAAAACGGATCGCTCGAACCGCTTCGAGTACCTCCTTCAGCAGACGGAGCTCTTCGCCCACTTCATCCAGCCAGCGGCGCAGAAGACTCCCACGTCGCCGCTCAAGCTCAAGCCTGGGCGGCCGCGCGTAAAGAGTGATGAGAAGCAGAGCCTGCTGTCGGTCGGCGAGTGAGTTCGCTCGCCTCCCACACCCACCACAGGGGTCTCGTCGAGCCGCCCTATAAGAGGAAACCGCGCCATGGGGAGGGTTTGATGAGCGTGTAGCGGCGGAGGGTTGTGTTTGTTTGCTTTTAGTTGGAGGAGTATACACATTGCGGTGTGATATGCAATGATGGGGTTTGATTGTGTAGTACTGTGTTTGCATCGTGGTGTTCTTGTGTAGTGGTATGTGCTTATGTAGTTGAACTTGTGTCGTGGAGGGGTGTGTTATTGGAGGTGTGGGGGGGTGCGCTTTTAGCGGTGTGTTTGCATAAATGGAGTTTGCGTGTGTCGTGGAGAGTGTGGATGTGTGTGTGTGGTGGTGAGTGATCTGCATTGGTTGGAATGTGGTTGGATATTACTGGGATGTGAGTGATGGGATTGAAACCCGGATTCGAACCCAAGATCTGGGGCCTTGTCAGCTTGTGCTACATCTTCCTACAGTTGGTGACTGAAAGAGTGGCATGGTGACACTGATTTCCTTACTGCCCTTGTGCCCCACCTCCCCCCCTCTGCAGCGCCCGCCACCGACGCACGGAGCAGGAGGAGGATGAGGAGCTGCTCTCTGAGAGTCGGAAGAGCGCCAACGCTCTCCTCCGCTTCGAAGAGTCCCCTTCCTGTAAGTTCCCTCGCTACCATGTGGCTCCCTTGGGCACTTGGTATCGCCCCGAAATGTAAGGGTGGGTTCACACTACATTTTTAACTTGCGCGAATTGAGCGTTTGGTACCTTACGTGAAAACGCGTTCACACCACCGCAGTTTAACTTAACGTTGGTGTCATGCGGTTTGTCGTGTCACGTGTGATGATTGCTTGATCATCGCCTGATTGCCACTTGTGAAATTTCAAAGCCTGTGGCTCCCCCCACCTTTGTGCCACCCGAACCCTGCTCACAATGTTTACCTCTCACCTCTTACTCTGTGCGTGCACGCATAAATAGGTCAAAGTGGCATAGTGGTTAGTGCACTATCTTACGAACCCGGCGGGCCGAGTTCGATTCCTGACCACGGCTAACATCCGTCGCAAATATTTGAACCAATTCTTAGGCCTTCTCTCGGTGAACTCAAGGTAAAAGGAGTACCTTTTAGGGTGTCAACGTCAGAAAAGGTGAGACGGGTGTCTGTGTGTGCTTACAGATGTGAAGTGCGGCACGATGAGGGATTACCAGGTCAGGGGTCTCAACTGGCTCATCTCCCTGTATGAGAACGGCATCAATGGCATCCTCGCCGACGAGATGGTGGGTCCTCTCCACCAGTGCCTCTGCAACACCCCCCACATTTCGTTTTTACATGTGTTTTAAGATGAGAGCTGGGCTATTCGATTATTTTAGCAATCATTTACCGAGTATTGGTTTGGTTACTCGGCTCATCGGATAACACAAAGAATAGTAGAAAGTACAGTAAAACCTTGGATTGCGAGTAACTTGGTCTGCGAGTGTTTTGCAAGACGAGCAAAATTTGTAAATACATTTTTAACTTGATAAACGAGCGAAGTCTTGCAATACGAGTAGTACGTATACGCTTTGTCTGCCGAGCGTCACGTGATCATAACTGAGCCGATGGTTCTTCTCTCTCTTGCTGCGGGATTGTGGGCAATCGTCTCCCATGCTCCTCAAAAGGAGGCAAAAGCAAGTGTCATTGGATAGGTTCCTTGTTAAAGTCGCACAAAAAGAAAAAGATTCCAGTGGGCCAACAGATAGCAGTGATTCCGTTAGTGAAAGTCCTACACAATAACCCTCCTCTCCACTCTCTCGTCTCCCTCACACCAGCCACGATTAAATTGAATTAATAAATTTGATTACTTTACATTACATTTAAATAATTATCATAAAATGTTGTATTCATAATTTTTACATGAATATTTTTGGGTTGTGGAACGAATCATCTGAGTTTCCATTAGTTCTTATGGGGAAATTCGCTTTGATATACGAGTGCTTTGGATTACAAACACGTTTCCGGAACGAATTATGCTCGCAATCCAAGGTTTTACTGTAATCTCAATTATCTTCCCACGTGTGTCTCTGGACGAGAGGTTATGGGCGGGTCTTGTTGGCGTCACTGACATCGTCCACAGTGTCTCTGAGCAGGGCTTGTAGGGGGTTGGTCGCCCCCACATTGGGGGGTCGTGGGGGGGGCAGATTAATCTACCATTAAAAAATAGGTACAATATTTTAGTTATTGATTTAATAATTTCAGCTGTAGATTTGAGACCGGAAAAGAAACACATGGATGAGAGAACAAAGGCAAGGTAAAGTCACGTAGAAGGGAAATAATGAAATAATAAAAATAAAACATAATAAAATAATTTTCACGACGTTTCGGCCACAACGCAAGCAGCCGTCCTCAGGTGAAGACAGACGCTGTCTCCCCGACAGACCTGCTTGCGTTGTGGCCGAAACGTCGTGAGAATGATTTTAATATGTTGTATTTTTATTATTTTATTATTTCCCTTCTACGTGACTTTACCGAAAGAACCAAGAAGATGAATCCCTGCAGTCACGAAAGCTTTAAATCGAAAAAAAAGGCAAGGTATTTGCGTCCTGTCATCTTGAGTAAACTAAGTGGACGTGTGCAGGACACAAGCTTAATACAAGTTAGCTTGTGGTTATGACTTTTAAATATATATATGTGATTTTGTCTATTTTGTCATTGAAACATTTTTTGTTGTGATAATGACGAAACAGGGTCTGGGAAAGACACTGCAGACGATCTCCCTGCTGGGCTACATGAAGCACTACCGCAACATCCCAGGCCCCCACATGGTGCTGGTGCCTAAGTCCACGCTGCACAACTGGATGGCCGAGTTCGAGCGATGGGTGCCCTCGCTGCGGGCTGTCTGCCTCATTGGAGACAAAGACCATAGGGTAAGCGCCAGCCAGCCCATCGTTCCACTCATTGACCAAAATACACATGGGCACATCCGCCCATCGTGCTCAATGCCGGTCAGCAAGCTCGCACTCCTGTCCGTATGGAGCCATATCATGGTACGCAACCATCAACACACACGCCCATGAGAAAGCACACAAAGACAAAGATCCCCAATGCAGACTATGTTTACACACGGCACCAGGTCTTCATGAGCTGACCTAGGGGAGGCCCTGCATTGATTAGCCATGACTGGCAATTCAACTCTGGTTGCTCAGTTCGTATACACGTTCACTAATTGTACCACTGCTCCCTACACCCAATACCACAAACACTCTTCAACACACATTCATTGGCACATAAACTCCTCCACCATATGTGTAAAGTTGACAACGTGCTATTGATAGGAGTTTCACAAATTCAGCAGTCCTCTTTGTATGTGCATAAATATATATATTTACATTCATATAAAATGTCAAATTTTACATTTTTTTTAGATCATTTAAATGATGTTATAATTGAACATGTCTTGACATCACTTCCTATGCAGTTATATCACTTCCATCAATCTGAAAAATACATAGAACATACATATATACTCATAATAAAATCCAGTCGCACCCTACGCATCTGACAGTTCTGTGATGCACGCTGACGCCCACTTGTCGCAGGCGGCGTTCATCCGCGACGTGCTGATGCCGGGCGAGTGGGACGTGTGCGTCACCTCGTATGAGATGATCATCCGCGAGAAGTCCGTCTTCAAGAAGTTCAACTGGCGCTACTTGGTCATCGACGAGGCTCACCGCATCAAGAACGAGAAGTCCAAGGCGAGGCCCCTGCACGCGCTCATGGCTTATTGACCACGGCAACCCGGTCACGCCTACCCAGGGATGGCCAGCCGGTCACGGGCACTCGATCACAGCCACCTGGTGATGGGCACCGACGACCAACCCATTTTGTCAGAATCAGAAAATTCATTTATTAATACTGGAGGAATCCGTTGAGCTATCTAGCTCTTTTTAAATCCTTTATATTAAGTTCACTTGCTTGCGCGCTTACGACCGTGCAAATCTTTCGGTCGTTTTTTAACCCACTTCCCGTGATCCAATCGAGCTGACATTTTGCACACAGACTCGTTGTGCGTGACAATTTATTTTCGTGAAATTTTTTTTCCAAAATTTTCCACTTTTTAGGAAAAAAAAAATTTCACTAACACTATCATATATTTTTCCTAAACACAGAAAATTATTCAAGAAAACAACAAAAATGTACAATATAAACAATCATACAAAAACTGAAAACCTTTAATCCTTATATACGACTTTCCTTATATTTAATTTAAAATACCAATGTGATAAAAATTAAACTCTTACTCAAGAAAAACAGAAATGAATAATAAAATAAAACCGATGCCACGCATATAAAGGATTTATAGTGAAAAACTTTGTTTTTACGGGTTAATTTTTTCACAGATGTCCAGTATTCGCAGATGTCCAGTTGTCGGAGCTTGGTTGTAGCCTTCAGTGGATCGGCTTGAATGCACTCATTCGAGAATGGAGAAGGAAACTTTAATTTGATGTTGGTCAGTAGTTGGCATCGTGGACGGTATGTAGGCTGATGTTGTAAATGGCAAAAATATATATATTCCAATATATTTCCCCGCAATTTAATCCCATTTGTGCTATCGGTGTAATTTTATTGCACAAAGTATCGGTTCAGATCTCTCACAGAGCAGTGCAACTCTCCGTGTTCGAGAGCGGTCCAAGGAAGCGAATGTCACACCTATCTTCTTGGTTCTTTCGGTAAAGTCACGTAGAAGGGAAATAATAAAGTAATACAAATAAAACATAAAACATTTTTTTAGTTTATTATTATTTTATTATTTCCCTTCTACGTGACTTTACCGAAAGAACCAAGAAGAATAATTCCTGCAGTCACGAAAGCTTTAAATCACAATTTGTCACGGCTATGTCCGAGACCCATTCAAATTACCTTGGGTCCAGGCTCGAGTCAGCACATTCCCACTTTCCCAATTTGATGACTTGTTACAATGAGGGATTATGATTTGCTTTGCAAAACTATTTCTTTGGTCTTTACATGCAAGAGTGTCCATTGAGTAATCCCATTCTCCACATAAATTAAAGTTTATTATTCTTGCGAGCATTATTTTTAATGGAAATCTTATTTAGAACACCTATTGTTGTCACATCCATATTCAGCATTGAATGTGAGAGCTCAGAAACAGTTGAACCAGGTTTCTGTAAGTCACAATATCAATTCTAGATTTGAAGCTTTCGTGACTGCAAGGATTCATATTCTTAGGTTTTATCCGGTAAAGTCACGTAGGTAAAAAATTAAAATTAATACGTGACTTTACCGAAAAAACCTAAGAATATCACAATATCAAGATGAGTAGTTCCTGTCCAACCGGGCACCTCTAAGCGTTCCGCCTCCGTTGTCTTCTGTCCCACAGCTGTCTGAGATCGTTCGAGAGTTCAAGACGACAAATCGTCTGCTGTTGACAGGGACGCCATTGCAGAACAACCTGCATGAGCTGTGGTCCTTGCTCAACTTCCTGCTGCCCGATGTGTTCAACTCTGCAGATGTGAGGCCCCATACTGCCCACACGCCTGCCCTCTTTCTGAAAGCCCCACAGGCCTTAATGAGGCCCTGGAAAAACTGCCCCACCACCGCCCTGTTTTAGCTTTTTAAACATTTACCGAGGTGGTGGCTCGTAACGGTGCTAGAGACATTGAGCCGGGACCATTTGGAACCTGTGTTTGAATCCAGGTTTCGACCGTTAAGCCGGAAGTGGAGTGAGCTGATGGTCTCAACCAGTGACTACACACAAAAAATCCATGCAGGCTTGCGTGCGGTCACATCAGATTGTAGCAAAAAACATTAAAACATTCAAACTATTGTGATATTTTTACGCATTTTTCACTGTGTAGTGTTTTTCTGCCGTTTGCTTGCAGTTGGTCTGTCAAAAGGAATACTTTATGTATCAACCAATTAGCAAGATTGTTGACCTTCCCCCACACTTCCCATTAGCGTGGCTGGCTACATACGGTGCGAAAAAATTTCTACATAAATACGTTTTTCGTGAACTACAGTTTTTCATCTCTCCCACAGGATTTCGATTCGTGGTTCGACACCAACAACTGCCTTGGCGACCAGCAGCTGGTTGAACGTCTGCACATGGTGAGAAATTGTCTTCTGTTCAACGATCGCCATGGATCAGCACCTCTGCGATCCTCATTTCGAATTTAGATTTCAGTGGCCTGTGATTAAACCTGTGTTCTCAAGTGTGTTGAATTGATGATAGTCTAAGCCCGGTCATTGATGACTGATTAAGAACCCCAACGCATTAAGTTTGGCTCTGTACTTAATTCTACGGAAGGGGGACTCGGAACCAGAATCGGATGTTACTCGCCGCTATTATTAGCCGTGGCGAGGAAATGTGAGTTTTATTTTGCCAGCTTCGTAGTGTAGTACACTGACCACTGGGCTACTGCTCTCCCACAGATGTAATCCACTGCGCTCTCTTCCTCCTGTTATGGCACCTCAGGTGTTGCGACCATTCTTGCTGCGTCGCATCAAGGCGGACGTGGAGAAGAGCCTGTCCCCCAAGAAAGAGTGCAAGATCTACATCGGGCTCAGCAAGATGCAGAGAGAGTGGTAGACTCCTCACCCACGTGCATACATGAGACACACACACCACCCCCCATAGTCCAGTGCCTCGACTGGCTACCAATACAATCCTGAGTCCATTTAAAGATTTATTCACCGTCTTCAAGATCCTCTGTGAACTCCGCCTCTGCCTACGTCTCCTCTCTCATCTCGCTCTATTCCCCTCCACGGACTCTCCACACCAGGAAACAAGCGTTTGCGCCGAACCCTCCTGTTAAACATCGCTCAGAGGAAGGTTGCTCATTCTCCTGTTCTGCCCCAATATTCTGAAACTCCCTTCCCCCTACCAACCTCCATCCGTGCTGTCATCTCCCTTCCCGTCTTCATGGCCTTTTTTTTTGTGCCTCACTGCCTCTATAAAAATACATTTACTCATTGTGTCCATTTATTATTGCCTGTAGCCTTGGCACCATGATCCTCTCGCCCGTATATCTCTCCTCAATCCTTTTGCCCTCCTGCTCCACAGGTACACAAAGATCCTGATGAAGGACATTGACATCCTGAACTCAGCCGGCAAGATGGACAAGATGCGCTTGCTCAACATCCTCATGCAACTGCGCAAGTGCTGCAACCACCCGTACCTGTTTGACGGCGCGGAGCCTGGGCCGCCCTACACCACGGACACCCACATCGTCATCAACAGCGGCAAGATGGTGGTGCTCGACAAGCTGCTGCCCAAGCTGCACGAGCAGGGTGCGTCCGGAGGGGTGCGGCAGTCTGCTCGGTCGTTGGGAGGCGGGGGCAGGGCTTGTGGTGTCTGGTCGGAGGGCAGGGCCTGTGCGAGTGGTTAGGGTAGGGGGTGCACTAGCTGGAAAACTCGTGGGAATATTGTGCGCTGTGTCACCTGTTGTCTTTCATGTAGTTGTGAGCATGCAGCCAATGCGAACAGTCCTCACGTGGTCAAAGATTCGTATAAAATTGTGTCCTGACAAAGGTATTTGACGGGCGTATTTGGTACTGAGTTAGATGGGGATCTTTGTCTTTGTTCTGCAGGGTCCCGCGTGTTGATCTTCAGCCAGATGACGCGCATGATGGACATTTTGGAGGACTACTGCATGTGGAAAGGGTACGAGTACTGCCGTCTCGATGGCCAGACGCCGCACGAGGATAGACAGGTGACTGACCAGCAGCAAACATGCACACACACATGACCATTTGCATGTTTTACCCAAACTAAAGCCATACGCTAGTTACAGACATCGTATTAACTGTTCAGAAAAGCAAGTGGCCTTGGAAAAGGCACGTTGTTAGGAGGGATGATGGTCAGTGGTCAAAATTTATGGTACTGGTAGGAACCTCCTGGTTACACCAGCCCACAGGGGATTATTGTGTCCATCCGTCATGCAGTAAGGGGCTGGGTGGGAGGGGAGGGGCTGGGTCGGGAGGAGAGGGTGAGGAGGGGCTGCGTGGGGAGGGTGGGGCTGGGTGGGGAGGAGCTGGGTGGGGAGAGTGGGGAGGGGCTGGGTGGGGAGGGTGGGGAGGGGCTGGGTGGGGAGGGTGGGGCTGGGTGGGGAGGGTGGGGAGGAGCTGGGTGGGGAGAGTGGGGAGGGGCTGGGTGGGGAGGGTAGGGAGGGGCTGGGTGGGGAGGGTGGGTGGGGGGTGGGAGGGGTGGGGCTGGGTGGGGAGGGGCTGGTCACCCCGTGGTGCCCTTATAAAACTCAACGTTTAACCTACTCACGTCGGCTTGTGCCCGCCCTCACAGTCGGGCATATTTGCGGCATACACCACGCCGCCGTTGACCCTGGCCAATGACCGAGCAACCCAACGTTCCTACCAGCTCTCTCCGCAGGAATGTGTTATACCAGGGCCTTTAAAAAGTATATATGTTGTTTTAATTGTATTTCAATAAGAGCCCGGTACAGAGCACGAACCGCGAAGCAGGGAGGGTTACAGAAACTCCGCGGACATAGGTGTCCCGTCCTCTGTGCTCCGAGGTTTAGAGGAGGGAGGAGATTGGGCTCACTGCCCCACAAAGTGGGGACTGCGAGCGGGGTATATTTACTTTAATGTGGGGAGGGAAAGACGAGGGAGGAAGAACTTACGTAAGAGAATAGAGGGAGTGGCTATAAGGAGGGGGGAGGATATCAGGGCCTTCTTAAAAAAGAGCCTTGAGACTCGGTCAGACTTCTAAAATTATTGTACGTTTAAGGAACGAACAGGATAGGACATAGAGGTTTTTTGGGTTGGATCGCGTAAATATATTAAAGTCAACTAGTAAGGGTTGTCACGTGAACAGAACATGCCAATTCGTCACTAGTACAGCACACTGTTGTGTTGGAGAGCCAAGCCACAACATTTAATCTGAGTACGACGTTTGGCCAGTAATTACAACCAGCTTCATCAGGCAACAGCCAGATTTGTGGAGAAGTCTGTTTAGTTCCTATATATAAGCGTAGATGTGGTGACCACGATTCTACGCTCTTGTGCCAAGTGGGGGGGGGATTACTGAGTCAACGTACATCATACATGCGCATTATGCAAGCCCTTTAAACTTGTCCTTCCTGTGTATTGTGTGTATTAAAATAGCCTACCAATGGTAATCCCTATTGAAGTCTGCTACGCTTTATAGACATGCATTTAAATAATGTATTATTTTATGATTCGTCTCCATGCAGCACTAAGGCGGTAGCTATCCAAACGGTTCAACATTTTTTTTTCTTTCAATTACGATAGATTCTCTAATTAGTCTTGGCCAGTAGTAGCTAGTTTTTGCACAGAACTTCAACATCAAAATCAATTGAGTGTCCTTGTGGGCACGCGTGTTCTGCTACCGCTGACAGTTGTATTTGGGATACTTGAATATTTCTCTGATGTTCTTTTAGTCTCGTGCTGGTCATTAGTCCTGTTTGCCCAAAATAACATTTACCTCATGTGCAGTTAATCCTGTACACACCTTGTATTGGTAACTCCGGTAATACATCTTTTGTAACAGATATTAATTCCTGTATTTTATGTACCGTGCCAAATCTGACTCGGGAGTTTTGTTTTTCCAAACATCTGGCTAGTTTATCAGTTACTCCCGCAATGTACGGTATTTTTATCGTTTTAATTACTTGGGCAGTTTTAATGCTCGTGTTATTTGACTTGGTTTTGGCATTCAATGTCCTGTTAATTTGTGCATCATTGTAGCCGTTCATTTGCAGCGCTACTTTAACATGTTGAATTTCACTTCTCAGACAGGACACACGGTACAGTGACAACAAAACAAGTTTCATACATTCTTGAATAAAATCTTAAAAATGAATTCGTCACTTCCTAAATATGTCAGAACCCTCGTGAAAAATAATCTCGAGACTCCATGAGGCTTTCCTGTATAAAGAAAGAGCTCGGTTATTATTAGACATAAAAGAGAAACATCAACAACAACATCACCATCTGTGTGTGGTGGTGGCGGCGGCGGCACTGTGCATGCAGGTATCGATTGCCGGCTTCAACGCTCCGGACAGCAGCAAGTTCGTGTTCATGCTGTCGACGCGAGCTGGGGGCCTGGGCATCAATCTGGCCACAGCCGACGTGGTCATCCTCTACGACTCTGACTGGAACCCCCAGGTCGACCTGCAGGCCATGGTGAGGCTGTCTCCACTGCTTGCCTGCGTCCGTGGGGACGCGCGTATATTTGAGGTCGCGCGCGTGTGTGCGCGTCGGCGAACGCCATCTGCTTAATTATGGCCATCACCGTTGTTGGCGGTTGTGACTTTTGCCTTCGTCGTGGTTGTAGATGCTTTGGTAAACTGCAACAGTTGTCTGTGTTGCATTTGTTTTGTTGTGGCGGTTCTTGCGGTTGCTGCAATTGTTTGGTCACTAGTTTTGGGAGTTCTCTTTTTATCACGATTGTTGCAGTTGTTTTGTTTTTAATCATGTTTTTGTTAGTTGTGGCGGTTGTGACGATTGTCTCCGTTGTGGCTGTCATGGCTCTGGCGTTCTGGATCTTTGCCGCGGTGGTGTCGATTGACTATTCCACCCTCGCCGTGGTGGCCACCGTGCCCCTCCCCACCTTGGTGACCCTGTGTTTTCTGTGACCCTGTGTTTTCCGTGACCCCGCAGGACCGAGCTCACCGCATCGGGCAGAAGAAGGTGGTGCGCGTCTTCCGCTTCATAACAGAGAGCACGGTGGAGGACCGTATCGTGGAACGTGCCGAGATGAAGCTCCGCCTCGACTCAATCGTCATCCAGCAGGGTGAGCGCTCGTAATGGCCATGCCCAGGGGTCTGCAACCTGTGGCTCCGGAGCCGCATGCGGTTATTTACGGACCGCTTAGTGACGTTATGTATGTATGAGTGAAATCTGAACCTCGTTGACCGACATGGTGAAGTATAGCCAAACGACCCCCATGACCAATGAGGCATGGGGAGGCCCCTGTCTTACACAGCCGACGGTTCGAAGTCATTGACATTTTTCGTGTTAAAATAACAAATGCCATTAACCGTTAAAATATTCCTTCAGTGCAATTGTAACGTGGCCTCTGGTCCACACTTAACTCCACTTCCTCTCCGCCACGACCAGGCCGCCTGGTGGATCAGGTGGCCAACAAGCTGGGCAAGGATGAGATGCTGCAGATGATTCGCTACGGAGCTACGCAGGTGTTCTCTTCAAAGGAGAGCCAGATCACCGACGAGGACATCGACGTCATCCTCGAGCGCGGGGCCAAGAAGGTGCGTCCCTGCACACTTCCTGTGCATCGTGGATGTTGTCTTCCACCGCCTTGCCCTGCTATTATTGTGCCTTGCCGTTTCTTGTCCTGCTTTGAGGAGCTTTCCTCTGCGTTGCAATGCCTTTCATTGCCTTGCTCTGCCTTTGAAGTGTCTCCATGATGGGTAGTCCCACATTTGTGGCTCTGTTTCTCACTCTAGCAGACTTTCTGTTTATTTCTGTCTCAGTGTTTTTATCTCCGTCTGTTTCTTGTCCCATTGACGATACCTGTGGCTGACTGTCTTTCCCCATCCCATTGTATCTTTTTAACGTGTCTTTTATCTCAATATCTGTGTCTTTGTGTGCCTGTGTGTGGCTGTTTTTATACATCCTAATGTCTATCTCTATGTGGCTGGGTCGGTGGTGAGGACAGACGGCCGAGATGAACGAGAAGATGTCCCAGCTGGGCGAGAACACCCTGCGCACGTTCACCATGGACACGGAGTCGAGTGTCTACAACTTCGAGGGGGAGGACTACAAGGCCAAGCAGAAGGTGATGGGCCTGCCCAACCAGGAACCACCACCATGGCCAACCTGAACCACCACTATGACCACACACTGCAACCACCACCGCCTCAACACCATCACCACAACCAACACCACGATTACCGCTGCCACAACACCACCACCATAACCTATAGCAACACCACCATAACACCATCACTACAACCATCACGACCAACTCCAAGAGCATAACACAACCACCACAACCAACACGACCACCACAGTAACACTACCAAGACTACCTCCATAACACAATCATCACCATAACGCTACAACCAAAACAACACCAACACGATCCTGATTGCCATAACACCATTATCACCACGACCACCACCCTATAATCTGCTTTTAGTGCACAATTAAACACATTGATTGTCCACGCAACAATTTATTATTTGACATGCATATTTAAGTGTATTTTTGGTCGGAACAAACGAGATGGAACACAAAGTACAAACAGGACCAGACTTTAGTGGTGGTGGTGGTGACAGTTGTGGGTCATTCCTTGCTTGATGGAGTGTGCTTTGTGTTTCTCCACCCCCACTGCAGCTGAACATGACTGAGTGGATTGAGCCACCCAAAAGAGAGCGGAAGGCCAACTACGCGGTGGATGCCTACTTCCGTGAGGCCCTCCGTGTGACGGAGCCAAAGGCCCCCAAGGTAGGGTCGTCGCTCACCCATCCACCCAGTCACTTGGTCGCTTGCTAACCCAGTCACCCACTCGGTCGCTCGCTTGCTTACCCAGTCACCGGTCAGAGCAGGCCGGGCGGACCTGTTGCCCTGCACGTGCTGGAGGAGGAGGCTGTCACATGGCTCTGTGGCTACATGGGCTAACGTCCACTCACATGACATCGATATTTATTTAATTCCCTTGTGTACATGGTGCTCTGTGTAAAAGTGACGTGTAAAAAGCATTCGCTCACTAAAACCGGTCACTCGGTTGCTCTCTTGCCCAGTTACCCGGTCATTTGTCACCCACCCACCTCCTCGCCCACCCAAGCCACCTGCTGATATGATTACTCATTTTCTTTCTTACTCAGTCACTCATTCAGCCACTCCAGTGAGTCCTGTCACATGCTCACTCGAGAAGTGGAACCTGTTCACTTCTGACCTTGGTGTGTCACGTCTGCTGTCTGAACACAGGCTGTTACTGTAAAGTAAACACGAGAGATATATTGATGCATTTAGTCAAATTAATTATTGTGTTTGTGGTTCCCGCGTAAAATTATTCGTGTAAGAATACTATTTACCATTGTTTGCAGTTTTATTTAAACAACTGTCGATATGACAGCAGCTTCATATCACCGTAGATTGTGTGGATTCTACATGCACTGTATTGGGATAAAAATACTCGATTTGTGAATATAATCTTGGAAGTTCATCCATTTTAGGGAGGAGATGAATCGTCAGTATTCTTTGTCTTATGCAGACCATGCCTGAGTGCCATTATTTAAATCCCTGTGCATTTCGAGAGTAGTAGAACCTCTTGAACTCCACGACTGGCTGCGCTGCTCTGTGCAGAGATAAACATTTGGCTGCACATAGCGTCTGTATCAAACCCCCGACGCTTGTCCTTACCGTGTGCAGGCACCGCGCCCGCCCAAGCAGCCCAGCATCCAGGACTTCCAGTTCTTCCCCCCGCGCCTCTTTGAGCTCTTGGAGAAGGAGATCCTGCACTACCGGAAGACCATTGGCTATAAGGTGACAGGCCTGTGTGTCCGCATGGCTCCAGATGACGTTTGGCACACTCCCCACTCGGTGGGGAGAATGGGTGCCCCAAGCTCGCGTGTATGTGTGCGCGCGTGTATACCGCCTTTGTCACTGGGGAAACAAAGGCGGCCGGGCGTGGTGTTTTCCACCCACCCCCTCGTGTGCCGTGCCGGCCTTCATAGGTGCTCACTAACAGCACTTGCCCCAACAGTCTGTTAAGGCTATACAGGGAGATTTGTCTTTTTATGTCAGTGTATATACTGGGGCAAACATTTAGGTGTATGTATATTTGAGAGAGAGAGTTTATTAGTTTGTGTGTGTGTAGGCATGCCTGTGTGGGAGTGTGATTATGCATAATTTAGGCCTCAATAGATGCTCGCTCACAGCTTGCCCCAACAGTGTGTGTAGGCTACACGGGGAATCCTGTGCATTGTGTGTGTGTGTGCGCGCATTTGCACTTGTGTGTGCCTGCAGGTTCCCCGGAACCCGGACGTGCCCAACCCCGCGGTGACGCAGAAGGAGGAGCAGGGAAAGATCGACACGGCTGAGTCGCTCAATGAGGAGGAGCTCGAAGAGAAGGAGAAACTACTCACACAGGCAAGCACATGGTCAACCTCATTGTCATTAGTCATCGTGTTCCTTCTTTAACCTCATCATACCATGGCAATCGCCACGAATATCATCATCATCATCTTGGTCATCTTAATTGTCAGATTCACCATCACCATCATTGCCATTCCAGTCGTTGTCAATCATGCTGGAATGTAAGCAGGTTTGAACCTGGACAGCACTTGGATGTGGGTGACCACCATATACAGCATGGCTGCGGGTTGTGGGGCTACATGGTGGGCAGTAGGCTCACAGTCCTGGTGTGGGGGAAGCTCTAATCCAGCAGTAGGTTGACAAAAGGGGCTTGGTGGGTAAATCATGATTGTAAGCATGGATTTTAATTCGTGTAAATCGACCACGTTACACATCTGCGAGTTGCACAGCTTCGTCGAGATGCGCGCGCCCTCGTTTGGACGCTTTGTAAAAAGTCTAATTGTGTCGGCACGTCGTGACCTTTTTTTCATGACAGGGCTTCACGGACTGGAGCAAACGAGATTTTAACCAGTTCATCAAGGCCAACGAGAAGTGGGGTCGCGATGACATCGACAACATTGCCCAGGAGGTGGAGGGCAAGACTCCCGAGGACGTCATCGAGTACTCGGGTGAGCGCCCACCACGCCCGGCACTTTTCGTCCTGTTCTATTTATATTCTCCAGAGAGTCATTGCTAATGAGCACACTGCCTACGGGGATGTATGTTTGGATAGGGGCGTTCCAATGGCCAGTCAGACTTCATTGTTGGGTGTTCCGATTTTCTGTATGGATGTTGAACTTCCTTTGCACCGTACATACCTGAACGTGCTAATACTGGTAGGAATCTCCTGGTTACACCAGCCCACAAGGGATTATTTTGTCCATCCGTCGTGCAGGGAGGGGCTGGGTGGGGAGGGAGGGGCTAGATGGGGAGGGGAGGGTGAGGAGGGGCTGGGTGGGGAGGGTGGGGAGGGGAGGGGCTGGGTGGGGAGGGTGGGGAGGGGCTGGGTGAGGAGGGGCTGGTCACCCCGTGGTGCCCTTATAAAACTCAACGTTTAACCTACTCACGCCGGCTTATGCACGCCCTCACAGTCCGGCATATTTGCGGAATACACCACGCCGCCGTTGACCCTGGCCATTGACCGAGCAACCCAACGTTCCTACCAGCTCCCTCCGCAGGAATGTGTTCAGAGGAGCGCGGGGGAAGGACAACAAACTGAACGTAAAAAGCAGTTGTAAAGACTTGAGTTTTGAATCTAGATTTTAAAGTGCATTGGAGTAGTTGGTGGTAAACAGCAATTGTCAACATCGTGGCAAAAAAAATGTCTTCAACTTTACCCCCTACTGACAAAATCTTGGCAAGACGCTCCTAAACAATCTTAAAACACTAGGGGAATGAATGAAGCATCGTCATCAACGTGAAAGGATTGTTGTGAAACAACGCAGGAGAATGCAAAAGTGAGAAAAAATAAACACGGAATATAGATCGCCGTCGAGGCATGACGTTGACAGGTTCCGTTAACCTTGACTAGGATTTGAACGAATGGAACCCCCTTTGCCCGAAACAAAAAAGTAATCAACTGAAGAGGCAGCAATTTGCAGTGGAGAGTAGGGGCATAGAAAATGTAGGTTGGAGCACACTGGGCCCACCAAACACTAGCCCTTAGCAAACATCTCACCAGCCACTCACACTAACTTTGTCACAGACACTATCTTTATCCAAATAAGCAATCAGTCAGTCACTTGTACTCGCCCTCCCACTGACCTTGGCCGACTAGCCAACCAGCCATGAATACTAACCCTTGTCACTGACTTTGACTCGACCTGCTAACCTTCCCTACAATTCTGTGCCTTCAGCCCCCTTGTTATCTTTTTGTTCGTCTTTTGAGTTTCGGCATTCGCTCTGTAAACAGTGCCCCACCTGCCCACGTGATAACAATTGGCACGGGAGATGAACTGAATTTTGTCTGTACGGGTTTCGTGCTAACGGGCCGCTCGTCTCTCCCCCATGCCTGTGTCCGTGGCGCCGGCAGCGTTGTTCTGGGATCGCTGCAACGAGCTGCAGGACATCGAGAGGATCATGGCGCAGATAGAGCGCGGGGAAGCGCGCATTCAGCGCCGGATCGGCATCAAGAAAGCGCTGGACGCCAAGGTGAGGCTCTGCTGACGTCGTCATCCTCTTCCGTCACACACAACGCGAGCCGCGGCGAACAACTTCTCATAACTAAGCAACTCTCGGCGTTCTAAATCATGGTGTAGTAAAAGAATCATTGACACCGCGTTGGCAGTGATGAACAAGCGTAAATAACCACAAACTTAACACATTCGTCATTAACACCTAGAGAGGAAACGTATATGCTAATGTATAATAGGTGACGATATGAGCATTGATTCTGATCATAGGCAATGTTTCAATGCTTGAAACATCGCTAATTGTGTGTTTTCTTTTCGGGAAATGTTTTTTGACGAATGTGAGTTTTTTTTATTCATGCAAAATCATTGTGTGGTGGGTAATAAATGCCAAGTTTTATGGGTAGAATTATGCATCAATTTTCCATTTTTTTTTTGTCTAATAATTTTATTTCCCAATAGTATTATCGGTGCCATGTAATGAGGTGATTAACCTATCCGAATCGGTCACAGAGCAGTGGAAAACCCCGTCCGTGTTAGAAAACAATCCAGAGAAATGGATATCACGGACCTACTTCTGTGATCTCTTATCCACACAGTAGGGATTCTAGATTTGAAGTTTTCGTGACTGCAAGGATTCATACTCTTTGTTTTTTTCGGTAAAGTCACGTAGGTAAAAAAACACACCACCTGAAGAAGGACGCTTGTGTTGTGCCCGAAACGTCGTGATTTAATTTAGTTGTTTTTTCATTTATTTTATTTAAAATTTTCACACAGTAGGGGGCAGCACTATTCCACCCACCCTACCACAGAGCAATATGCGTCACGTGACAGTCAAACCAATATTTTTTTAATCGCGAAGCTGACATTTTTTGCCAGCGTAAGTGCTGAACCAAATTTGATGTTACGGATATTTAGTCCAGTCAGGCGTGACTGAAACTATCAACACAGGTGGCCGAAATCTGGATTCGAAAGTAAGATCCCATTGGTGGCTGCTCAGCGCTCTTGACACGTGTTTCTATTTCTTTCCATGTCGCCTGTGTCCGCAGATTGCACGCTACAAGGCGCCCTTCCACCAGCTACGCATCTCGTATGGCACCAACAAGGGCAAGAACTACACAGAGGAGGAGGACCGCTTCCTCATCTGCATGCTGCACAAGATGGGCTTCGACCGTGAGAGCGTCTACGACGAGCTGCGCCAGTGCATCCGCAACGCCCCGCAGTTCAAGTTCGACTGGTTCCTCAAGTCGCGCACGGCCATGGTGAGGCTTCCATCCTTCGTTGTCGTTATGGTAACCTCGCATCTTCCCTCCCCCCCCCCCCCCAGCGTTGCTACGGTAGCCGCATCTCTACTTCAGTTATCACCATGGTATCCCTGGCTTCTCTGGTGTTGCCACAGTAACCCTTGGCTCTCGCCCAGCGTGATCATCACAGTACTCTTGCATCTATCGCAATGGTACCCACGCCTTCTCCTATGCGTTGCTTGGTACCGTAACCTCCCCCTTAGCATCGCCACGGTACCTTTGCCTCTATCACCTTGGCACTATCGCCTCATATTGTCATTATGGTATTTCTCACCACTTTGTCACCATAGTACAATTCACTTTCGTGGTCATAATGGCACCCTTGCCTCTTCCACAGCATTGCCAAGATAATCTGCATGCTTAGACAAGCATTGGACATTTCTCATCTATTGAATATTGGCAGTCCTGGGCCAGTGATGGCAACCAGTCTCAACACGGGACATCCAGTAGCATCTGTTGGCCAGCTAGTAATTGTGCATTGTTTTGGCGGTCCGCGTGCTTCACCTGAGCGTGTTCATTCACCGCGCAGGAGCTGCAGCGGCGCTGCAACACGCTGATCTCGCTCATCGAGAAGGAGAACTCTGAGCTGGAGGAGAAGGAGAAGGCGGAGAGGAAACGACGCGGACCCAAGTCCTCCTCGGTCAGACGAAATTGCAGTGCAGATTGCACGCTGGCACTGCACTGCATGGTCACACTGCACGTGCGCACACCGCACGCTCGCATATGACAACAGCAGCCGCTGTTCACTACTGCCGGCGATGTCATCACAGCGCTTGTCAGGCTCAGTGCATTTTAAGTCCAAGTGCTGTGGCAGCAGGTTACAAGACTAACATCCAGGTGTTATGGATTAACTGAGAAAAACTGGGAGACACACCACCTCTGCTCCCCCGCTCTGCCAGCTTGCTCTGATTTTAGCTCGTATATAAACACACGTGCACAGAGAATATTCAGTTGTTTGGCAGCTCTGCTTTGAAGTTGGGCCATAATCCATCGTGTAAGTCTAATATGTATTGTATGTTTATGTTATAAGACGGTGTTTAACATTCAAATGTTGTTTCTATGCCCCCCCCCACAATTTTCTCTAAATAGTGCTACTGGTGTCATGTCATGGGACTTGTCAGTTCTCCTTTGAATGTTAAACCACTGACTATCAGAGGACCCAGCGTGGACCCACAAAAATTATCAGCAGTGTTCAAGGAGGATCTGTAACTGAAGCTCTGAACTAGGTTTGTTCATCCCTTGACATCGGTCTTATTTTGTGACCCATCTTTTTCCAGGCGCAGAAGAGAAAGGCGGAAAACACCCCTGATTCCCGTGGCCGCAAAAAGAAAATGAAGCTGTGATGGAATCACGGACTTTCAGGAGCAGTGAGATGTACGCCGGCACCGTGGGTCAGTCGGAAAAGTTGGGTTAGGAAGGGGGGGGGGGATGGAGAGGGTAGAGGGGGATAGAGCCAGTGGGGGGGCGGGGGGTGTGAGATGAGGTGCGTGTGCGGGATTTTACGTCTTCCCCAAACACGGCAGTTACATTGGCATCAGTGGCAGCGCCGGAGACGCCGCGCCGATGCCGTGCTGTCCAGTTGACAGAGGAAAGAAAAACGTCTCCAGAGGATCTTCAATGTCACGCAAAGCAATGAGTGTCAAGATCAAGAAGATTGTTTTTCCCCTAACAATGACTTGTTTATGTAATGAGCTTCAGGAAAAAGCACCGACCGGGAAGGGTAATGCGGCTTTTATTTTGAATTCACCAGCAGCGGTGTTTGTGAATTCCTACACTCGGCAAACTCTCCCCACCCACCCCAACTCCTTCAATTCCCCGAGGAATGGTAGCTTCTGTAACGGTTGCTACATTTCACACAAAGGCGCTTGCTCTCACACCTGAGCGATCGGTTGGGAAACTTGGTCGCATGCAACCAAGTCGTTTTTGGATGTGCAGTCGGTTTGCGCGAGCAGTTGTGTGACCGTTTGCCGATATCGCAGAGGCTCGCCTTGCAAGCGATCGGCTCGGAGATTCACGGCCATGCATTTCCTCAGGTGCACGTTGATTGGCCGTCACAATCCTGACGCGGGGTCGAGGGTGGTGGTGGTGGCAACTCGCGAGAAGGATGGCGCAGCTCTGCTGCTGTCGAGGGCAGTGCGCCAGACACTTTAGCCATGACCATGCATCAAGCTCTTGAAATGCAACTACTGGCTTAGATGTGGGCAAAGCAGTCGTGGCCAATTTAGCTGTGCAACTGATCGTTTGCAGACAAGTGGGGCATGCCATTCCCTCACGGGTAGGCAGGGGGGGGGGTTGTCGCTGTAGTCCGATGACCAACGCGGATTGGTCCAAGTGAGGGGATCACTTGGGGCTTCCACAGCGGAGTCGTAACCGTTGTAGCCACAGCGTCGTTATGAGTCGGCGTGGGAGAGCGCCCTCGTTAATTTTATTTCGGAGTGGAAATGTTTATAGTGAACGAGACTTAGCCCCGTTTGTTGTACTGTTCGTGTAGGTGCTCCCCACCGAGTGCTTGTGTTATTTTGTACTTTAGCCTTTTGACCATTCCTAAAATAAACTTGTTCAAAAAGAAGATTCTGCTTGATTGGTTGTTTTTGTCAGTTTAGCCCTCCGATGTGTTTTCAAAATATGTAGACGCTACATACCTGTCAACCCATGCGGTTTATCCGTATTCTTGTACAGGGAAATTGAGTTTTCAGGTCCCTACAGCGTACAGCCGTTTCAATACGGGCAAAACTAATTTTTGTGTTTCTCCCTTATGATGGGACTTTGTAGGATGAACGTTGAGATTCAAAGGGCACGGGGTGACCAATAATGTCTGAAATGGTCTGTAATTAGGTAGGCACTGATAAGGGGTTGACAGATATGACACTATGCCCCCCTTAACACATCTGTTCCGGTATAAGTATTTGTCTCATTCAGGCTGTTGTCGACCTACATGTAAACACAAATAGTAAATACGTACACATTTAAAAGAACACTTTTGCGGTCTGCAATGAATATCACACCGAGTGAAACAAATATAGAAATTATTGAGTAATGTACACGGCAAATCTAAATGATTGCATTCCATCTGTAACATTTTGCAAGGGTCGTGCAAGATTTAGTTGGGGATTTTAAGTAACTTAAGAAGGGTGGCATAATTTACTGTGGGAGATCGTTCTATTGATGCTATCAAATGTCAGTAATTTGTAACCGCTATATTACAAATGTAGCAAAGTTTGTTTATTTGGCATTGTTCTTCTTGGTTCTTTCGGTAAAGTCACGTAGAATTGAAATAATAAAATAATAAAACCTGAGGACGGCTGCTTGCGTTGTGGCCGAAACGTCGTGAGTTATTTTATTATGTTTTATTTTATTATTTCCATTCTACGTGACTTTACCGAAAGAACCAAGAAAATGAATCCCTGCAGTCACGAAAGCTTAAAATCGAAATTTATTTGGCATTGGTTTGTGCTTCCGTGCAGCGTTTTGAGATTTCTCACGTGACACGGTTTTTTGCTCTTAATTTCTGTTTGCGCTATTGCTGTACTTTGTTGTTTTGGTGACTTGCCCCCCAGGTCACTCTTGCTAAATGAGACTCGTAAACTGATCTTTCTCGCCTGGTGAGACAAAATAAACATTAAAATTCTGCCAGATCCAGCAGCTGTTGCGCAGTAAAAACACAGCCCAATTAGCACAGCCCAATTAACGGTCTCCATCATAACCCACCTCCTTCGTCCATCTACTGACACGTCCTTTAAGGGCCATCCTAACCATCTCATCGCAACCACAGTCTGGCTTTTGGGATCTTTTTTTCCCCAGTTGTACTTTATATTGTCGAATAGCCTACAAGGCCCTATGTGACCAAATCGCCGGTCATGGTCCTGATCCCACGAGCCATCCGAAGTTGAGCAGAGTTTAGCCTGCCGAGAACTTAGATGGCTTGACCACGTGTGAGAGTCTAAAGTCTAAACAGACCGTTGTGTAGTATGCGTTTTACGCAGCAGAGGGCAGTGCAGAACATTTTTTATCTGACCCCAACCACCAACGCGCACTGACCAGAGTGGTGAAGCATGGTCAAACAACCCCCTCTCTCACTGCCTTGCACGGTGTGGTGGTGATCCCCTCATTCAGCTGTGGATTGAACGAGCAGGCTGCGTTATGTACCCAGTGGAATGAATGCATTCGTAGTCTTTAATGCGTGGTCACTAGCAATAGAAAATGTGTGACGTTCAACATAATGGCGTCACCAGGAATCCACGTTGCATTTAATGTAATGACGTCACGACAGGCTTTGCATAATCAACATACAATCGTATGACGTCACACGAGGAGCAAGCCACCAGCATTTAGGTAAACGGCAGCAGGCATTGCCTGCAATCGCGCTGGTGTCTATTATGTAATAACCGGCAATCATTCTCATCTCGTCGGTGACGTCACGTGCGTTCTGTTAGGGAATTTAATGTGACGTCACATTATTTTCATCCGACACATGACGTCCCCACATACCGTTAACAAAACCCCGTCAATGACGTCACGCGCGGTGTGCTGCATCATCTTCCACGCCGTGATTGTAAGAGGCACCCCAAAAAATGTATGCCCTGTGTCAATAAAGTTGTACAAATCTGGTCTCACCCACGCGCGCGCGCACCACTACCTCCGACACGTGCCTGAGAATGGATGTGAGCATGTGGACGAGGTGCTACGGGTCTGAAGCGTCCCCAGCAGACGTTGCATCATTACCTCGGCGACGTCACAATGAAGCATGGCCAAATCAAAACTAAAAAATAATGAAGCCACAACAACAGATCATTTTCTCACCTGAAGACGGACGCTTGTGTTGCGACCGAAACGTCGTTTTTTCTTTAATTTATTTTTTCTATCTACGTGACTTTACCGGAAGAACCAGAGAGTGTTGTTATTTTAAAATGTTACCAGGTAAGGCTCACCGGAGCTGTGTAGTTATTTTTCAGAAGCGACCTGGCTGCCACAATGATAGTCCAACGGGAAAGTGTCTCATCGTGTGCAAATGTGTAGCAGCCAACTCACTCTCCACGCGTGATGTTGTTTGTAAACGTGGAGGGGAAAACCGGAGGACCCGGTGCAAAAATCCACGCGACCGCCACGGGGAGAGATGAAAGAGACGCAAACTCGAAATATACAGCAGCAGGCGTCAGGATCGGGATCAAACCCACGACCTCCTGCATACCAGGCGAGGGAGTTAACATCTCGTCACAGTGACCGCATCCATGGCCCAGCAGTGCATTGACGAAGGAGCCGTACACGCGATGCGATGACGTCCAACTGATGCATCGTCGCCACCCTCCGCTGTTTTTTTTTTGCACGAAGGACCATTGCCCGAAACGTTGGACGCGCGCGTTGAGTTCCGTGGTTACATTTGCGCTCGTGCGCGCAGACGCTGTCGCAGCTTCGGCCTTCTCTCTTCCACCTCTGTGAGAAAGAGGGAAAAAACCAACTCCGTAACTCATCGAGATTATTCCACTGCAAAACACATTCCCGCGGAGGGAGCTTGTAGGAACGTTGGGTTGCTCGGTCAATGGCCAGGGTCAACGGCGGCGTGGTGTATTCCGCAAATATGCCCGACAGTGAGGGTGTGCACAAGCCGGCGTGAGTAGGTTAAACGTTGAGTTTTATAAGGACACCACGGGGTGACCAGCCCCTCCCCTCCCAGCCCCTCCCCACTCAGCCCCTCCCCACTCAGCCCCTCCCCACCCAGCCCCACCCCTCCCACCCCCAACCCAGCCCCTCCCCACCTCCCCCTCCCCACCCAGCCCTACCCTCCCCCTCCCCACCCAGCCCTACCCTCCCCCTCCCCACCCAGCCCCTCCCTCCCCACCCAGCCCCTCCCTGCACGACGGACGGACAGATTAATCCCCAGTGGGCTGGTGTAAGCAGGAGGTTCCTACCGCTATAAACATCCCAGATCCCAACACGACGACAGTGATGACATGCGATCCCTGACGTCACCGGCGCATTCCTCAACACGACTCGCGTCGCGGCGGTGACGTCACCCGACGTTTCGGATGCGTTCGTTTCCGAACGGTGACGTCACCGCCGCGTTCTGATACATTCCTCGTCCTGCGTTGTGACGTCACGTCGGAAGTGGACCGACGAGGGGAGCGCGAGAGGAGAGAGCGAGAGAGAGTGGAGAGTGAGTGGAGAGTCAAGCGGGCAGCTGTGGCAAGAGCAGCAGCTGTGGTAGCAAACAACAACAACAGCAGCAACAACAACAACAACAGCAGCAGCAGCAAGTGAGCACGTACAAGCTGTAGCAGCAGCAGTGAAAGCAGACCCGGAGCAACACAATAGGAGTACGACCACCAGCTGCATACCAGCAGCAACAGCAGCAGTGGCTCCAGCATAGTTGCTGTATCAGCAGCAGCAGCAGCCGTAGCAGCGGCATAACCAACAGAACAGCTGTTACTCGTACCAGCGTTCGCTGCGGTGGCTGCAATCGGCGAGGATAACAATAGGAATAGCGACAGCGGTACCGGTTGCTGTAGCAGCAGCAGCGGTAACAATTGGAGCAGCATCAGCGGCAGCGAATGCGGCAACATTCGCGGCATCAAGGGCAGCTGTAACAACTACTGCTGCGAGCAACAGCAGCAAGCAGCATTAGCAACATCAGCAACAGTATCAGCAACATCGTCGGTACCAGCATCAACATCAACAGCAGTATAAATCAACAGTAGCATCAGCAAACTACTGCAATAGCAACAGCATTCCACAATCCTCACAGTGTCATCAACTTCAGCAGCAGCAGTATCAACAGCAACATCAACAGCAGCAGTAGCAACAACAGCAGCAGCAGGATCATCACCAACAGCAGCAGCAGCAGCAGGAGTAGCAACATCATCATCAGCAGCAGCATCATCAACATCATCAGCAGCAGGAGTAGCAACAGCAACAACAGCAGCAACAACAGCAGGATCATCATCAACATCATCAGCATCATCAACATCACCAACATCATCACCAACATCATCATCATCAGCAGCATCATCAACACCATCATCAGCAGGAGTAGCAACAGCAGCAACAACAGCAGGATCATCACCAACATCATCATCAACATCATCATCAGGGTCCACCACATCTGCTCGTCACCATCGTCACCCCGTGCTGCCCAGTGGGCTCCTGCGACGGGAGTCGAACCCAGACGCGGACACCTCGGACACCGGCGGCGGCGCGATGAGCGGCGGCGGCGCGGGCGAGGTGGTGTGCAGCGGGTGGCTCCGAAAGTCGCCGCCGGAGAAGAAACTGCGCAGATACGTGAGTGCCCCGAAACGTCGTCATTCCCCCCAGCTGGATGCAGAAGGTCTTCGTGCAACTCACGGGGTGCCGGTCACGGAGCGGTGTTGGTGGTGGTGGTGTTGTTGGTGTTGTTGTTGGTGGTGTTGGTGGTGTTGTTGTTGTGGTAGGTCGCCACGCTGATTGGTGTTGGACACCGACCCCAGTAACCTCGTGTGTGCCGTGCCCGGCACTTGCCCCTCTGGTCTGTTGGGGTTATACGGGTCAACCTTTGCATTTGTGGTCCAACATCAGAGCAGTTGTGGAGGCATCGCTCGCCACTGATGTTTGGTCGGTTCGTCCGTCGCCGGGGAATTGACTGACGTAGGGGTCAGGTCAGGTCAGGTCCGCCGGGTTTGTAGCGCGGTGCGCTAACCACTGCGCCACCGCTCCGCTCTCACAGTCTCGCACAGTGTCGTGTCAGTCATGGGGTAACGAGACGGGGGACGCGTACCCCATGGGTTATGAGGTCGGTGGCTATTGCTACAGCGACTGGAACAGTGGTTACATTGTGAGCCGGTGCCCGATTGACCAACGTGGACGCGCGTGGTCGATAGAATTGGTACCACTTTGTGGTTAGTGGACGGCGGCGGTGGAGATGGTGGGTCTTTGGATGGATTTGTTCTGGCCGTGGGAATGTGGAATTGTTCACCACTGGTTCAGGCCCGCCGATAGGTAGATGCTATCATTTTCTTTAATAAAAAATCAACAATACCCCTTCTTATGAATAAGGGCCATTACCTGAAACGTCGCCTATCATGTGCGTTCCCTTTAATGGCCACACGGTGTTGTTAGTGACGAATGTGATGAGGTTTGTTGTTGTTGTTGTCTGTGCCTGTGCACCACTGCCAACGCTGTGTAGCAGCAGCAGCAGCAGCATCATCGTCATCACCACCACCAGATGATTCGTCCCATTTGCTCATTTCGGTTCATTTTGCTACAAATGGTTGTGCGTGACTCTTCACCAAGGCATGTGTGTACTCCGTAACGAATGGTGTTACAAACTCACGTGTGTGTGTGTGGGCTTCCACTAATTCGACTGAGATTCAAACGAGTGTCTGGTGCAGTGTGTAATAATCGTCAATGGGGAGACAAAGGCGGCCGGGCGTGGTGCTGTCCAACCACCAACTGGTGTTTCTGTGCCGGCCTTCATGGGCCATACGGGGTTGGGGGTCTTTGTTGACACATCCCTTGAGCACGGTAGTTAATTATTTAATGATGTACAGTAATCTTAATGATGATGGTACAGTGCAACAATAATCACAACTCGATCGAACTTGTGTATACGTATTGTCATGTTGAACCTCTATCGCACCGTACGTAGCCAACCGCGATATTCGGAGTTGCGGGTGTAAGGAGAACACAACTAGACACACGAAGCAGTTCCTAAGAAATGAGTTTTAAATTTAGATTTCAAAAGTGTACAGCTCTCCCTCTCTGGCTTCCTGATATCGGAAGGACATTTGCCAACCGACGTCTCCGTGGGAAATTGGTGGCATTAAAAACAAACAAAGTTAGGAGCCAAGCGCTAAAACTTGCTGATTCTGATGCATTCCAGTTTACTATCGAGAATTGCCGACCTACAAAGTTAAAGTTCGACTCAGGGTTTCGGGTTTTAGTGTCCAGTCTGTGTTTTTTTTAACGCATCGATGCACTCATTCGTTAGCTCATTCATTCCTTTCATTCGTTAACTCACTTCCGGAATTAGTCAATTGATTCCTACTGTATTAACAAAGTCGTTGGTAATGTAATTGTTCATTAATTCGTTCTTTCGTTCATTAACTCATTCCTACGTGCATTAATTACTTGGGTAAAGTTGTTACTGCATTGGATCACTCAACCATTAATTCGTTCATTAGTTAACTTCTTAACTCGTTCAATAATTCATTAATTCAATCCCCTTCCGGAATTGAAAGACGCGCAATCGAAGGACCTGTCCCAACGTCGATCACGCGCCTCGGCGTTCCCTCGGACAGGCTTTCCTCTGGGTAGACTCAGCCCGAAATGACCCCACGTGAACCCGCCCGCGCTATTCGCCCAATGTCGCTCTCGCGTCGTTAAACACCCTTTAGGGGCTGCGGAGGCAAAGGGGTAAAGGTCCCTGCTGCAATCACTGGTGGTCTCTGCTGCCACAAACACACACACACGGGTGCAACCTTACGGTGCCCTACCTGCTGCACCCTGTTGCATAGCCACTGACACGCTGGTGCACTTGCTGGCAGTCTTACAATAACCCCTGTTGCGCCCTGTTGCGACTGTATAGCCACTGACACGCTGGTGCACTTGCTGGCAGTCTTACAATAACCCCTGTTGCGCCCTGTTGCGACTGTATAGCCACTGACACGCTGGTGCACTTGCTGGCAGTCTTACAATAACCCCTGTTGCGCCCTGTTGCGACTGTATAGCCACTGACACGCTGGTGCACTTGCTGGCAGTCTTACAATAACCCCTGCTGCGCCCTGTTGCAGGAGTGATTTTCGACTCCCTACTTCGTCCTGTTGCGATGTCACGACTTGCTGCACCCCGCCGCTGCAGCCTGTAGACTCCGTAATGCCCTGCTGCACGTGCCTAGCTGTCCCGCTCCGTCCGGATGCGATCATTGGGGCTTGTCGAGGATCCTGTTGCAGAAGCGGTTTGGCAGTGACTCGTGATGACAAGCAGCGGCAGCCTCGGTGTGGCTGGTGCGCGCCCTGCTGCGATTTCGCCTCGCCCCGCTCGATTCTCCTACGCCGGAGTGTGGCTTGAGAGGGCCCTCCAGCAGCCTGATGCAACATCGATTCCCTTGCCTCGGGGTGAGATTTTATTTCGCTGTTTTTCTCGTGTAACCAGGGTGACAACTCAAGAAAGACCAGGATTGAGTGATCCTGCCTGGGGCATCGGTCTGCTGCCAGCAAGGGGGGCACGATGTTTTTGCCGCGCGCACTTAATCCCAAACGAGCAACTTTGCGGTGCGATAAAAAAATAATCCAAGGCGCACGATGGCCCCGTACTCTTGCAAACTGAAGTGGACGTCTCCAGAGTACTGTTACACCGCCGCCGTATTCATGGGGGGGGGGGGGGGGGGGTGGCCAGCCACCGGATTCGAGCCGCGATCCACTGCAACAAGCGGAGAAGGCGCTGTCCGCTTGGCGCCGCGCTGTCGCGGTACGGCTTGCTGAGAGCCCTGCCGCCACGCGATATCGTCATGCGCTGCCACGGCGCGATATCGTCATGCCCGGCGTTGTCTGCGAATCTCGCGGGCGGGGAAGGGGGGGCTCGGGGGATTTGCCTTGAAATTAATCCGCTTATATTGGGATACACGGTGCGTGCGTCGCAATATTCATAGATTGTGTCGGCGCGGGGAGGTCGAGGCAGCACGTGAGTCTCTTATCGAGGGAGACGCGGGGGCAAAGTCTGTAGACGGTGCGATGTTGCTGCAGAGCGCGTACAAGCCATCGATGTCATCACGAGCCATGTTCTGTCCACTGGCGGATGAAGGGCGGGTTTAAGTTCGCACTCGATAACTGCCCAAACACCGCTCTGGTGTGCTGGGTTTGAGCAGGGATTGTGGACGTAAGGCACTGCCACGAGATTGCACGGTGCGCCAATCCCACAATAATCCTATATTATCACTACCCAATATTCCCATGATCCCGGTGTGGACAAAATAAGTTATTGCGAGGACAAAATGAGGCGAGAGACGGTGGATGTGGCCAGGTGCTTGACAAACACATTCCCGGAACAGCGTTCCGGACTGATCTGGTGCGAAAAGAGGGGCCCTCCTCAACACGGTTCCCCATCCCTCGCGACGCCGCAACATCCCACCGCTCCGTCTCTGCGGGGACGTCACTGTCGAGGGCGTTCCCTCCTTTGGCTGTCGTTCCGTCGCCAGTCTCACCCACGGGCTGCTGCTGCTAATGCCGCCCAGCAGCCGGGGTGCGTCAACTGCGTCGTCTGCGCTGCGGTCGCATGCAAGCGGATTAAGCGTTTGGGCAAGCGGAATTCCCGGCAGGCCTTGAGTAAGTTAAAACCACTCACGGGCTGCCATGCACAGGTGAGTCAGGGCGCTTAACACACAAAATGTAATGAGTGAGTTGTTACCCTAAAGCCCTTCCCTGTACTGTCGCGTCGAGAGTTAATTAATGCAGCGAAGTTGTTGATGATCTCAGCCCAAATCGCCGGCCACTGCTGCACAAAAACAGCCGGTCACTTTAAATGTGGCAAATCGCTCAATGTCGACATACTCCAGCTCGGAATTAACAACAACAACAACATCAATCGCCATTCTTCACTAAGTGGCGGTGACGTCAGGTCGGCGCTTGTGCCAGGCTATGTGCACATCAAGGCCCCGTGAAGTGTCGAACGCCCGCTGGCCGGAGGTCACTGGACAGACCCAGGTGCCGCGGGCCAACGATGCCAAATCACAGTGTCGCACGATGAGCGTTCCCCTCCGTGGTGTGCCGTGCGGGAGTTGCGGCGAGGGCCTCCTCTGTGGAAGGGAGCTCGTTGACGGGGTCGCGGTTGCTCCGTGGTGGCTGCGCCCGCGTGCCGCCGCTCTCCAAGGCCAAGCTGAGAGCATCAACTCGCTGAGCCACCTGGCTTCACCACAGGTGGCCAGCAGCCTGGGTTCAAACCCAGGTCTCAGCGGCGCTGACTCAGTGCTCTGACCACTGAGCCACCCAGCCACCTCTGGTATTCATCCTTTTTGTACAGTACTACAGAGGGATGGTGATGGCGGTGGTGGTGATGATGGTGGTGATGATGATGGTGGTGGTGATGATGATGGGTTGAGTTGGCACCAAACCGTCATTTGAACTCATCAGGCTTATCGTCATCATTGGCCATGATCACTCCACTGCTGGATGGGATGGTAAGGCTTCCCCAAGTTGTCGTCTCTCACGATCCTGCGACGGGATAACCCACCAAGCACCTGCACACGAGCTGACGTCGCCGCTCCGTCTCCCCTGGAGATGTGGCTCGGGTGCTTTGCCTCCTTTGTCTGC